GCAGGGACGCCCTCTCCGCCGGTGCCGGAGCCTCCCTCCGCCTCGGCCTCTGTCCCCCGGTGGCTTCTGCGCCCCGCACACCGCGCTGATTTTGCTTTGCATCCTTCGCCCACCCTCTGGCCCACTCTGCTCGCCTCCCCTTGGCTTTCTGATCCAAGTTCAAACTCACCTGTGACCACAAGTTCTTCCAGAAGCAGGGCGGCTGTGCGGCCCAAGTTCTAACCTCAGACCCTCCAGTAACCAGGGTGGGTGTCCGTGCAAGCCCTCGGGTTCCCCGCTGTGACATGGGAGCGACGGGGAGTGCGCAAAGGCCCCTCCATGTCTGTAAAGCCCTGTGTGCCCTCCTCCCACCCCCCTCCGCTGCTTCTAACGTGGAGACTGGGAAGCCCCGCGCTGGGAGGAGCCCCAGGCCCAGGGATGACCCTGAGGGCCTTTCCCGCCCAGAAGGGACCCTACAGCCTGGCCTAGGGGAGGAGAAAGCCTGTACTCGCGCCCACCGGGCCCTGAGCTGCCCCCTAGCCCACCGCCAGCCCCGCTCCTGAGCCGTTTGCTCCGTCGGTGACTCATGCTCCTGCTTTTCCTGCTGATTCTCCATCAAAACCCACCGGCCCTGTTCCATCATCTCATCGCCTCGCTCTCTGTGAACGTGAAGACCGGTGATGATCGGGTGTTGGCAGACTAACGAGCTGCTCCAGGAGGGAACAGATTTGCGCTGGACAAGGACACGCTGACCGGGCCTCCATGCGGAAGAGTGACGAGTGGTGGCAGGCTGGCTGAGGAGCCCGAGGGCAGGGTCCCTGCCGGGCTCCGAATCGTACCTCGCGCCTGGGCATCCGCATCTGCCACACAATCGTCCCGTCCCCGGGGGCCAAGGCCCAAGCCCCTCTACACAGGCTGAGACGGCCCTTCCCGTTGTGTGTGTCGCTCACGAACGCTGAAGGGGGCGCATGTACACCTGGTTGGCTGGCATTTCAGCCAAAAGGGAGGGGAGAGACGGGTCTCCCCCGAGGAGAGCCATCTGCAGGGGGTCGTCCGAGAGGTGGCCTTCCCTCCGTCGGAAGCCAGAATTCAGAAGGTGAGCCCGGCCGGCGCGGCTCAGTGGTTGAGCGTCGACCTCTGAACCAGGAGGTCATGGTTTGATTCCTGGTCAGGGCACATGCAACCCGGGCATGTGCCCTTGGCCGGAATCGAACCTGGGACCCTTCAGCGAACGTGGGCGAAACTATTTCAAGAGTCGGA